AAGGACAAAGGATAGATCAGGGGCACATTCTCTTCAGTGCAATTAGAGATCATTGGATAACTATTTATTGAATGCATGCTACGCACCAGCCCTTGTGCCAGGCACTTGGTATACAAAGGATAACCAGCCTGTCATGGCACTGGATAACTGGCTGGGGGTGGGGGAGGGAGGGCAAGGAGGAAGGGGAAATAAAGACACACAGACACACAGTTACAATACAGGGTGATAAGAGCTGTCAGAGAAAAGAGTCTAAGGTCCTTTCAGAAGGAAGGGCCTCAATTGTACCAACCTAATCTCTTCTTTCCTCTCTTTTTTGGTGGGGGGGGGGGGGGAATGGGCAGTCCTGGGGCTTGAACTCAGGGCCTAGGCACTGTCCCTCAGCTTCTTTTGCTCAAGGCTAGCACTCTACCACTTGAGCCACAGAGCCACTTCTGGCTTTTTCTGTTTATGTGGCACTGAGGAATTGAACCCAGGGCTTCATGTATGCTAGACAAACATTCTACCCCTGAGTCACATTCCCAGCCCCCAATCTCCTCTTGAAAGAGATGTGAAATCATCACCTGAGGCCAAGGAAGGACCTGGTTGGGGGGAACTTCAGGTAGCATGTGCAGGAGGGGGTCACAGGTCTCTGAAGCTGGCTGAGTTTGTGGATCACAAGGAGGAATGTTTGGTAAAGGACTGGGGATGGAGGCCAGGGAAGATCATGTTAAAGGGCTTAAGCTTTTTCCTGTGTATGGAGGTCACCTTGAAAAAAATCTTACTATTATTTGTCTGCTGTGGGACTTGAACTCAGGGCCTGGGTACCTGGGCACTATTCATAACCTCTTTGTGCTCAAGGCTACTGCTTTACTACTTGAGCTACAGTACCACTTTCCATTTTGCAAAACCTTAAGACAGGGAAGGAAACAAACAGATATTCCTTTTCATTAATATATATTTTTGATTGTAAAGATACTGTACAGAAGGGTTAGTTACATGAGTAAGGTAATGAGTACATTTCCTATTGAGCATTGCTACCTACTTCTTTGTTTTATCCCTACCATCCCTTCCCTCCCCACCTCCCCAACTCCTCCCTCCCCTGCCCCGAAGTTGTAAAGTTCCTTTTCAATACAGTGTCTTGTACATCTCATACAAACAGATATTCATTTTAAGTAGATGATTATGTGCAGTATGAGCAGGCGTAGAGGAGAAAAGGATAAGATCAAAGGGGAGCTGGCAGCTGGTGGCTCACGCCTGTAGTCTTGGCTACCCAGAAGACTGCCAGCCTGGCAGATGAATCCCAGAGATTCTCATCTCCAATTAGCCACCAAAAATGCAGAAATGGAGGTGGTGTGGCTCAAATGGTAGAGTTCCAGTCTTGAGCAAGTATCAGGCCCTGAGTTCAAGCCCCAGTACTAGCACCAATAAAAAAGAGGGAGGAGGGATATGGAGCTAAAGTCTGGAAGACTTATTCCCAACATAATGCATGAAGTAAATAGTTGGTGAATGAATGAATGAAAGGATCAACCAATCAGTTGTTCAGTGCAGGACTGGAAACATGACACTGAATGTGGAGTCAAGAATTGCGTGCGTGAAGGGGTCAGAATGAATGCTCATTGAAATACCAATGGATCCTCAATTACTGAGTCTCTGAAGACAAATTATCCCCACGGTTGATAATGGAGGGTAGTGAAATAGTGGAAATCACGGATATGTGAAAAAGACCTGGGCAGGATCCCTAGTTTTGCTAATCTATTAGTTGTGAAATACATCTGAATTTCTCCAACTTTCCATTCCCACAACCATTACTCTTTTCCCCCTTTCCCCTTCCTCCCCCTCCCCCTGCTCTCCCTTTCTCCCCCTCTCCCCTCTTTCCTATTAGTACTGGGCTTGAACTTAGGCCTTACACTCTTATTTGACTTTTTCACCCAAGGCTGACACTCTACCATGGAGCCATAGCTCCAGTCCAAACTTGTTGCTGGTTAAATAGACTTTTCTGCCTGGGATAGCTTTGAACCTCCATCCTCATATTTCAGCCTCCTGAGTAGCTAGGGTTACAGGTATGAGCTACCACACCTGATGACATCTACTCTTTTTTTTTTTTGTCAGTCATGAGGCCTGGGCGCTGTCCCTCAGCTCTTCAGCTCAAGGCTAGTGCTCTAACAGTTGAGCCACAGTGCCACTTCCAGCTTTTTCTGCTTATGTGGTGCTGAGGAATTGAACCCCAGGCCTCATGCATGCAAGGCAAGCACTCTACCACTGAGCCACCTTCCCAGCCTGACATCTACTCTTTATATGCAACTGTATTAGCAGCATAAAATGGGAAGTGTTGTTACACTCTGTGTACATTTCTCTTTGCAGGTGGTCTGTAGGCACTGAGCCAGAATCTGTAGCCCAGCAATGTCTTAAAATCATCTGCTTTAGAAAGCTATCATTATAACTCACAGGACAGTGGAGTCATGGATTTAGAAATCCAGTAACCAGTGTAGTTTAAACTTCAGGCAGGTTAACTCTGTAACTTGCCCATGGGAGACCTGGTGGCAAGTGGGCAGAGGAGTTGGAAGAGGCCATCTTTGGCTGATGTCCCCAAGGGCATCCCTGAGGACAGAAACAGGCCAAAATGAAGGACCCAGTTGGAGCACTAGACATAAGTCCATGAAGGGTTGGAAGCTCCTGCAGGTAGTTGGGGACAATGTTCAGAACTTGACTTTGCAATTTCAGTACTTGTTCCCAAACTCCATTGTGACAAATCAGTTCTGCCAGCTAGCTCTTAGGAAGGGTAATTTTTGTAAGGCTCAAGCCAGGAAGACATTTCACAGGTTTGTGGCTACAGCTAACAGGGTTGAGCGAGCACCCAGGAAGTGAGAGCAATGACTACAGGAGCCAGGGGTCCTCCTGGAACCAGGAAGGAGGAGGCAGCGGTGTGAAAGGTAAAGGCAGGGCTGGTAGTAGTGGGAGTGGAGAAAAACAGGTTGAATTGTAACATACAGTAAGCCAACAAATTTTTTTTAAAAAGAAAGAAAAAGAAGAAGGTGAAGAATAGCTCTTAAAAAACATTCTGGAGGATGAGTGAACTCATTCCTATGAAATGCTTCCTGTCAGGGGCTTTAGATCTGAGTTCCTGAACAGGCCTAAAGGTTTTACTTTAGACACTTAAATATTCCTCCTTTCAATCCTTAATACATTTACAAATTCATACTGCTTGGCTCAGTCCAGGCTTGGCTTTTCCTCCTCCCCCTCAACCCAAATGAGCAAGTCTGGGCAGACAAATCTGAGAGACTCTTATCTCCAATTAACCAGCAAAAGCCATAACTGGAAGCATGGCTTAACTGGTAAATTACCAGAGAGTTTGAGGCCCCAAGTTCAAAGTTCAACCCCAGGACTGGCCTGTACACAGGCGTGCACACACAAACACACAGAATTTCCTTAAGATATGTAACTTTTAGTCCATGATGCTTCGTATCTCTAAATCATCTTCTAGATCTTTTTTTTCTTGGCAGTACTGGAGTTTTGAAGTCAGAGTTTCAGGCTTCAGCTAGTGCTCCACCATTTGAGCAATACCTCTAGCCCTGTTTGTTTGCTTGCTTGTTTTGGTTTTTTTTTTTTTTTTCTGATTATTTTAGAGACAGAGGCTAGGGAACTATTCTGCCCAGGCTGGCTTCAAAATGTAGTCCTCCAGGTCTGAGAAGCTATGATTATGGTTATGAGCCAATGGTGCCCAGCTAGATATTTCTTTCTAGGATTAAAGGCATGGGCTATTGGAGGCAGACAAGCTAGATATTTCTTTTTTCATTTTTAAATTTTTAAAATTATCTTTAAGTAGTTGTCCAAAGAAGTTCCCATTCTACAAAACAGTATATGAATACAAAGTGTCTGACAACAATGTCACCCATTGCTCCTAACCCACTCCTTAGCTCACTTTTCTTTTTTTTTAAATTGAGATTAGGTGATTACATACATTTCACATATTTCACAGTATTGTGGAATAGTGATACTTAAAGTCACAAACACATTTTAAGCTTCACAAGGCAAATTGTCATTATCATGGTCTATAAAGTTTGTGAATTCTATGAGCTTTGACAATACAATTATTTCTTCCATGTCAGGTGATATGTACATTTCTTTCCTTTTGCTTAGAGGAAGCTGTTCCCTCTTTCCCTCTCATTCCTCCCTTTAGATATTTCTTAAAGTGGTAAAAAGTGTGACCTATTGAGAATGTCAGTATCATTTTTATGAAATGATACTACCTGACTGAATTATTTTCTCATTTTCTATTATCACTGAGTCTGCTCTCTGCAGTTGGCTCAAATCTATCCTCCATTTCAAAAGCTCCAATTAATCCATCAACCACAACAAAAAGGCCATTTCCAGTTTATTTTGTTCCTGTACTGAAATCAAATTGTCAAGGAAATTCCCACTCCACAGTGGTCACTTAGCGCAGTTAGGGTCCTAGCAGATGTCTGCATATCTGTAATCATCCACACAAGAACATCAAAGGCAGACATCAGAGTCCCCTTATCAAGACTGAGATCCATGTGTCTCCAGTTCTCTAATACATTTCACCATCCACATTGTTTAATTGAGCCCTTTACTACAAATGGTTTTAAGCTCTGATGCAAGACAGGAATTTGAAGCATGCATGGAAGTATGCTATGTTGTTAATTTCTGGTGCACATCAACATCAACTTCACTCAGCAATTCAATAATCTTGTAAAATAAAGAAGATGTGCCAGAGAATGACAAGCCACACAGAAGTCTCCAGAATTGCAAGAAAATCAGTCTCACTGTCATAAAATAGCCACCTGTTTCCAGATCTGTAAAGATGTCACAACCAATAAAGAAAAATAAAAGGAGGAGAGAAGGTTTTCCAACTGAAGAGCTGTTCCAACTTGTTTAGGACCTGTTTATGTGGACACTTCACATTCTCAACAGGTAATTTTAACACCTGATTTCAATAACTGATACAGAGTTTCTATTTTGTCTTAATTCTACTAGAAGGCATACATTTTAGTAATTCCTACCTGGAAAGATGGATGGTCTCTTTTTGGGACGCCTTAGATGAAAAGGTTCCAAGTTCTTAATGTTTCTTTGAAGTCTTCCTCTAATGTCATTTCCTAAGAGTATTTCAGGGGGTAGGCTGCTCCTTCTTGACGATTTGTAATCATTTTGGGGTGAAGTTAGCTTGTCCTTCGTTCTGGAATATAAATTACTGTCATCAACAGCCATCGTAGCAGATTCATTGGAGAGTCAGAACAAAAATCCCCAAAGTCAAATCCAGCCCGGGGCAGCTGTGCCACCTCTTCTGCTCCAGAAGGGAGGTTCTCATGCTTTGCCCAGTACTTGTTTGGGAAGCTTAGCAAGTAGCTGGGCGTGGACATGAACAGGTGTAGAATTACGAAGTAGCTCCTCCCTTAACAGTTAATAGCACAGAGAAGGAGGGATCCAAAAAAAAAAAACCAAAAACAAACCCATTAGGTGCTGCCAATGACTGGGGAATGTGCACAGATGTGACCCAGAGACTGAGCTGTGGTGGATGGCAATAAAACTCATGTCATGATTGCTACATGGAAGTTCTGGTTCAGCTGTGTAAATGCCAGAAAAATAAACACAACTTGCTAAGAACAAATCCCAAAGCACATCGAAAGTTTTGACATTCCCTATGATTTCCCTAATGCTTCAAGAAATAGTTTTTCTGAAAAGCATTTTTTAAAATCATCTTCAAGTAGTTGTACAAAGGAGTTGCCACTGAACAGAGCGGTTTATGAACTATAATCATTTCTCTTCTTTCTTTTTTGTTTCAAACCACATGCAAATGCATGACAAATGCCCTTCTCCCCTCATGATTTGGCAGGCAGCTGACTAGGACATTGGCTGGAAGAGGGAGATGAGAGATGGCTGGAGAGACCAGGAAGCAACTGCTTGTGGGCTTGTGCAGATGACTTCGCCAGAAGTTCATGCTGCCTGGAAGGGGTGTCACAGATCTATGAAACAAGCTTTGTCCTCAGACAGTTTGACTACTCAACAGACAAGAAGGCTGAGATCTGAGGACTGGGGCTCAAAGCCAGCCTGGGCATAAAAACCCACAAGAGGCTGGGAATATGGCTTAGTGGTACAGTGTTTGCCTAGCATGCATGGAGCTCTGGGTTCAATTCCTCAGCACTACATAAACAGAAAAAAGGTGGAAGTGGCACTGTGGCTCAAGTGGTAGAGTGCTAGCCTTGAGCAAAAGAAGCTCAGGGACAGTGCCCAGGCCCTGAGTTCAAGCCCCAGGACTGGCCAATAAATAAATAAATAAATAAATAAATAAATAAGTCCATGAGACTCTTATCCAATGAACCACCAAAAAAGCCAGAAGTAGTGGCTGTTGCTAAAGTGGTAGAGTACTAGCCTTGAGCAGAAAAAGCCAAGTAATAGCTGGAGTTCCTAAATTCAAGCCCCAGTCCTGTAGTGGCACACACATGCACAAAAGGTAAATGTTACTCCCTCACTGCCCAGCCCTCCCCATGGGGACCCTCCCCATTTTCCAACTAAATCAGTCATTTGGTCTGGTGATCAAACACACAAGCCACGTCCTACTTGTCCTGGTGACATATTTCTATTTTGTTCCCTCTGTTCTGGAGTTTGTATTTCTCTGTCCTTTGTCCCTTTCCCCTCTGCTCTATTTATGTGTCAATGTCCTACATTATAGCTATAATTTATCCTCCCTGATCATGCCCCAGGACTGTGTCCTTCAGCAATGCATGTGTGTATGTGTGTGTGTGTGTCATTGTCTTCCCCCCTTTCTCCCTCCCCCCCTCACACACACACACACACACACACACACACACACACACACACACCCTACATACCCTCATGCTGCTGTCTGGTTATACTGTGAGTTAGAAGATGACATCATCTTTTTTCCTCCCTGTGCCAGGGATCAGGAGGCACAAATAATATCAAGGATCCCTGTTTACTTTGTTTCTTGGATGCCAAGCAGGCATTAGTATTTGTTCAAATTTGAGAGCTAAATTTCCTTACCTAACCAAGGATATATTTCCATACCAATAGAAGTCTTTTTTTCTCTATTTTCCTTATGCCTTGACCATAACAGGTCTTCAAACAATGGCAGAATCTTTTTTCTGAAGAGAAACTTTTTTTGTCGGTCATGGGGCTTGAACTCTGGGCTTGGGCGCTGTCTCTCTGCTCTTCAGCTCAAGGCGAGAGCTTGAACCACAGCGCCACTTCCGGTTTTCTAGTGGTTTATTGGAGATAACAGTCTCATGGACTTTCCTGCCGGGGCTGGCTTTGAACCTTGATCCTCAGATCTCAGCCTCTTGAGTAGCTAGGATTACAGGCGTGAGCCACCGGTGCCCAGCAAGAGAAACATTTTTTACGCAAGTATGTTCACACTAGAATTACTATTATAATCTTGAAGTCATATTTACATGTTGGATTATTAACTTCGTTTTTTACCAGTTTGGAGAATCTCCCACATGTGGTCCTCTGAAGCCTTAGAACTACAGTGGCAAATTGATGCATCATAAGCTTTGAAAAATGAGTAGCTTATATTCAATCATTCTTAAATGTCCAGTAGAGCCTGATGTGGGTGGCTTATGTCTATAATTTTACTTAGAAAACTAAGATCTGAAAACAGATTGCAGTTCAAAGCCAGTCCTATCAAAACAACAAAACAAAACAAACAAAAAATCCAGCAAAAACCTGGGCTAGAAGTATGGCTTAACTGATGAGATGCCAGCTGAGTGAGCAAGACAAATAAGTACAAGGCCCTGAGTTCCAGACCTCCTACTGAGAAAAAAGGAGGAGAAGGAGGAGGAGGAAGGTGAAGAGGAGGAGGAGGATGAGCAATAGGAAGAGAAGGAGGAGAAAAAGAAAAAAAAAAAGCCCAGGAGACTTGAATCTACCTTACTTCGAACAAAAACAATTTTTTTCCTAGTAAAGAAATTAAAAAGTAAAGCACTTTGCAAAATTTGAGATAATGATAATTAAAAAATCTATAACTTAAACATCAAAACTATTGAATTTTCAAATACATGGCAAAATAAGAGTCCTAGGGCACACAAGTGTCTATGGCTCATGCCTGTCATTCTAGCTACTCAGGAGGCTGAGAGCTGAGAATCCCAATTTGAAGCCAGTCAGGGTGGAACAGGAGTCTCTGCTCTTATCTCCAGTTAATCTGAACAGTCAGTAGTGCCCAGGTTCTGAGTTCAAGACCCAGTGCGCATACACGCCCACACACACACTTCTTAGGGCAGAAAAGGCTGGTATAGTAAGGAAATATATGGCAAGTACAGAATTTAGTGACTACTTCTTTCCTAGTTCAAGTGTCATTATGGGAGTAAATAAGAGCACACATGCAGTGAGTGGAAGATGCTGTTATCAACCACAGGGAATGGAAGGTACATCTATGCAGTGCATGTACATAATTTGCTTTTGCCTTTAAGAAGCTGCCTAGACACCCAGAGCTAAGTACATGTGCATCTAAGCACACTGTAATAATAGCTGTCATTTATGGCAGGTTAATACTACCATCAGGTCCCAAGCGGAAGCTTTGGCACATATTATCTCACTGAGCTCACTGAGTTCATCCCTTTTCACTATGGATACCCTGAGATATAGAGCCTACTGTCCAGATTACGCATGACTGTAAAACTCTCCCAAAAAGCAACATACACATTACATGACTTATGCAATGGTAAGTCATTAATAAGAACAAAATTAATATTTTTAAAAAGCTCCATGCAAATACCTTTTTCTACATACTGCATTGTAGGGTGAGAATTATATCTAAGAGGAACTGACAATCTCTAGTTTTATAGAACAATCCTTGACTTTAGGAAGTTTTTGTTTTTGTTTTTGTTGGTTTGAATCCTGGCCCTTGTACTTGCTTAGGTTGGTACTGCTCTACCATTTGAACCTCATCTCCATCCCTGCTTTATTTTCTGGTTATTTGAGGATGAAGTCTAGCCATCTAGTCTACCTGGGCTGGCCTTGAAAAGTTGATCCACCATAACTCAGAGGGTTTTGAAAAGATTTTTAAAAGACTAGCATGGGCTGAGTGCGCGTGGCTCATATTTATAATCCTAGCTACTCAAGAGGCTGAGATCTGGGGTTCACTCTTCAAAGCCAGCTCAGGCAAATAAATCCAAGAGATTCTTATCTTCAATTAACCCCTAAAAAGCCAGAAGTGAAGTGACTCAAGTGGTAGAGCACCAGCCTTGATTGAGAAAGCTAAGAGACACACTAAATGCTGGTGGCTCATGCCTGGAATCCTAGCTACTTAGGAGGCTGAGATCTGAGGATCATGGTTCAAAACCAGCCCAACTAGGAAAGTTTGTGAGACTTGAGAAGACTCCTATCTCCAATTAACCACCACAAACTGGAAATGGTGTTATGGTTCAAAATGGTAGAGTTCTAGCCTTGAGCAAAAGATCTCAGGGACAGTCCCCAGCCGCTGAGTTCAAGCCCTATGACCACCATCTCTGTCCCCGGTCCCTCCCCACCCCCACCCCCACTCCCCTGAACAAAAAAAAAAAGCTAAGGGATAGTGCCCAGACCTTGAGTTCAAGGCCCAGTACCCATATTTTTTTTTTAAAGTTGGCTGTAACATGAATATCAACAAACCACACAAAATTTAGTTTGGTTTTGTCCTCCGCCATAATGCTCAGTCTACTATTGCTCTTTGTAATTAACAGCCAAAAGTCAAATTTCACTCTTTTCTCCCTAGGAAGCCAATAAAAAAGATGATGATATTAGACTCCAGGCTAACAAGATGATCAAATTCAATAATTAAGTAATTATAAATATATTATTGGATTTTCTTTTATTGTAACAATTACAAAGGTTTCTATGCTCCTATAAATCCAATGGATTGATCTCTTAAATTATCCTAATTTTTATACTTCAAAAAGTTGTATATTTTAGGGATGGGAAGGGGAAACAAAGGAGGAGGCTACAATGCTTGATAAGAAATGTACTCATTATCTTGCCCAAGTAATTGTAACCCCTCTGTACAGTATTTTCACAATTAAAAAATAAAAAAATAAAGTTGAAAAAAAGTTGTATATTTTATATTTTAAGTGATATTACCATCTCATGGGCAGTTTCTGCTTTCAGTCTTTAGTACTTACAGTGCTTCAATACTTCACACATAAACATTTTCTCAGTTTGTATCCATAAATTCTTTGTGAATTTTGGTAGCTTTTCAATAGCATTTCTGAATTATTATTATTTTTTAATGCCTGTCCTAACACTTGAACTCAGTGCCTGGGTACTGTCCATAAACTTTTTTGC